GTCGCGTGCACTTAAACTCGTATAATCTGCATTTGTAGTTGAATGGTAGTAGATATTGTTCTCTTTGGGCTTTCCCTTCCGGACTTCTCCTCAAGGTTTTTAAAATACGTCTGCTAGGGAGAGGTTTCCACACTCTTATAAAGAATGTTTCGTTCTCCTCTCCAACTGATTTAGGATCTTACAATCCACACTCCTTCGGGGCCAGCGTCCTTGCTGGCACTCGTTCCTCTCTCCAACCGATGTGCGAATTTACAATCCACCCCCTTTGAGGCCCAGCCTCCTCGTTGGCACTCGTTCCTCTCTCCAGCCGATGTGAGATCTTACAATCCACTCCCTTTCGGGTCCCAGTGTCCTCACTGGCACTCGTTTCCCTCTCCAAACGATGTGGGATCTTACCATCCACCCCCTTCAGGGCCTAGCGTCCTCGTTGACACTCGTTCCCCTCTCCAATTGATATGGGATCACATAGGTAGGTTTCACATACTTAGACTTTCAGTTAAACATCAGGCTTAAATTGAGACCTAACTTCACTGTTCTGTAACTGGAATCAAATTACCTAAAGAACAGGAAAATCAAGAACAAACCAAAGCGAAACCCCCCTCCAAACGAAACATTCGTCAAATTCTACCCTCATTCAACGAAATCAGAATCACCAAATCATCATATTCGACGAAATCAACAATTCAGGAGAGAGTTCACAAAGTTCACAAGCGGCAAAACAATGCCAAAAGCTAAAACTACACAAACAACAAAGAAAATTAGAGAAAGAAATCGAACCTGCACAAGACTTGATAGTATGAATTTTGAGGAGCAAAACCAAAATGCTAGCCAAATGAGTCATATCCCCAGCCAATCTGAAGATATTCATCTTCTTCAACTTCTAAATTTCCCGCTACGAAAATTCTGACGTCGGAAGATCGATCTCGCAAATTCCCCGAGCCCTAATTGATTATCAAACAAAAAGAAACACAGAAATCTTCGTATTTTAAAATGAAACTTACCCGAAGAGAATTGCACTCGTTTTTCATATACGATTTGGATTCAGGCCTCTGTTTTCCGGCCGTCGTATCGATATTTTGCTGTTTAGAAGATGAAATCGAATAAACCATTATAAACTAATGAATTTATCTAAAAATTTAGTGGATAAATCTTTAATTTTTTTAAGGTTAAATTACTATTTTATTTTTGAAAAAAAACATCACATTTATTCATTTTCGTCCTTGGATCATTTTCCTAATAATTGATATTGAACACGTAAAACCGCATTTACCTAATTTCGATGTTAATTAGATATAAATTGAATCGTTTAACTGAACACGTAAAACCGCGTTTAAAAAAAAGTGGGAAATTTGTGAAGGCTTTAGCTAAACCGACTCTAAAACGTCCAAATAAAATATACATTTCATCAATCTCTTAAGCCTCACCATTTTCTAACAAAATTGAGTAAACCGTCTCTCGATAAATTCAATGTTAGACATTGCTCTACATATTGTTTACAAAGCGAGTGAGATAGCAATCGACAACAATATCATGATCCAAAGTTTAGAGGTCGTAAGACTCAAAGAGGCTTTCGAGTTGGTAGATGTCGGGTTGTATACTGGGTTTAGTCCATTCGTGTCATCAGTACCACCGTTGTTGAAGCTTGGCGTGGTGGTGGTTGTGGTTGGTGTTGTTATTGTCGGGCTAGTGTTTCCTGGAAAGCTCGGTGTGATTGCTCCTCCTGCAGTACTGGAAAAATCATCATAAATGATCTTCAGAACAACTCAATACATCTATTCATTCTTATTTTCGATGAACGTTTTCTTTGTATAAGACAAATTTGAAAAGAAAAGTCGGAAAATCGCTAAAGATTTGGACAAGTTCTAACCACATAATGATATCAAAGAATAGATTCTTTAGGACAACCCAACACCATCTTCTATTATGTCACTCAATCTATAATTCTTATTCTTTTTTTTTTTAATTTAATAAAAAATAATATTTAAAAAAATAGAATATTTATTAAATATAAACTAATGTCTAATTAAACTCTAAATTTTTAATTTGAGATGGAATACAAAATAAATATTAATTAAATATAAAATTAAAAACTGTCTAAATTTTATTTTATGTCAAATTAAAATTTTAAAAAATTAATAGATATTTTTTAAGGTTTAGATTTGATAAAAAAAAAAATTAAAATTAAACTAAAATTGTAATTTAAATATATATTTTTTCTATTTAATTATTTTAAAAGACTTTTCTCCGACAAGTTTAATTTAAATCAATACTATTCTTGACCAGCCTTCTAGATTCTCAAAACGCAGCGTTTTTAAGTAAAAAAGCTAATTTAAAATTATAAAAGTAAATCCATGCTATTCTAACCGTTGGATCTCACCGCCACCTGGGCCCCAGCGTGACTGATCCAACCGTCTCTGATTAAGATGAGGCCCGCAAAAAATACTTCGGACAAGAAATAAAATATTCGATTTTTAAAATATTATATATATATATATTTCACCCTATTTAAATTATTAAGAATTCGTTTTAATTTAGTTTTAAAAATATCTAATATATTTTTAAATTTTATATCTAAATAAAAATTAAATGTTCGACACCATTTAATATTCTTTTTAGGATTCTAAACACAAACATAAAATTTTAAAGACATATTGAACGAAAATATAATTTTACAGCTAATAGAGCTAATATATCAATTACTTTTTATGTAAAAAAAATATTAAATTCAAAATTATAATTTCAATTATCATTTAAATTATATTAAAATTTGTAAAAATGAAAAGAATTATTATATATTTTTTAAACTTTAGGGGCACTAAAATTTTAATCTAAGTTCAAGATTTTTATAATGAAACTCTCCATTATAATTTTATTTTTTAATTATATTTTCAGGAAATGTTTAAAATTTAAAATAAAGAAAATAAAATATTCTCCCAGTAATGGGATAAGAGAACCCATTTACTTGAACATGAAGAAATGTCCAGCAATAATTAGAATAAATTATAATAATATAAATAAATAAATAAACCTAATATTTCATTTAAAAAATTGAAACAAAATTTAGCATTACCTGATAGAAGATGGATAAACACAAGATCCATAGCCTGCACAAAACAAACATTGTCACATAATTAAACCTCAAAATAATTATATATATATTTGTTAGAACTAAAAAAAAATCTAATTTCCATAAAAATAAAAATAAAAAGAAATGGAAGGGGACGGACTGGGGTTGGAGTGGGCAATGGTGGCGGAGCCGGCGAAGTTACAGGAGCCAGGAGCCATGGCCTTGCGCTGGAAGAAGCTGTTGAAGGCGTAGGAGGCGTGGGCCTGGATGGTGTTGGGGAGGAAGCACATGCCGTTCGGCAGAATAGGAGTGCAATCTGCGCCGGTGGCGCAGGCGTAGTTCAGCGCCGTCTGTAGCGCCTCGTAGCTGACGTCGCTGCGAGCCACGCACCAAAACTCGCTGGAAACGGCGGAGGTGGTGGTGGTTCCGATGAGAAGGAGGAGGAAGGAGTGGGAGAGAAAAAGCGTGGCCATTGGGGAAGAGGGCAGAAAGAGGGGTTCGGGACACAATGTCTTCTTGGAGGAAAGACAAGACACCGACAACTGTACTTTCATCCTTTTTCAATTGTTGTCGTCTAAGTTTGAGATGTCCCTCTCACGATTGTGGTGTGTTGTGATCTTAGACACGTTCACGACCAGCCTTAAAGGAGAATTAAGTCTCATACATATTTTTAACCCATCTTTGTAGCTTCGTCGGATTTTAGGCTTGGTTTGTCTTTGTCAATCGAACATCGCTTGTGCAGAATCTAAGATTGTTCAACCACACACACCACCTGCGCGTACATGTTCAATCGTCGACACATTCGACTTGCCTCTACACCAACCCAAATCATTCGGCTCGATCTTACCTCTGCTCGGGCCAAGGTCTCTCAGTGCATCGCCGCATCTCATCTTGTCATCTCGATTCTCATCGACATGGTCCATATGTCTTGACGCCATCCCGAGTCTCGAAATGTCGTTGGCTATCACCAACTCGTTCGATCATGCCATCGAGAACAGGCCTGCGTGTCGCTCATCTCATCGGGACATCCCAAATATATAGGGAATCAAATCCTTGTCAATTCTCTATGTAGAATCCACGCCCCGATCCCCATTAAAATAATATGAAAAATTGTTGGGATGGGAACAGGGAAGGCATCCCGTAGACATTTCTAGTCTAAGCTAAGTCGTTTGAATGTAATATTGCATCTCATCTAGTCATCATAATTTCCAATAACATGGCCTACGTTTGATGATGTCATCTGAGATTTTGGAATGTTATTGACATTTGGTGATCACTCATACATGCTTATGGAGTATCAACCCATGAGTCAACTTTATAGTCCGAGTATCTCGGACATCCATATATTTAGGTAAGAGTAAGAAAAATTTAAATAAAACAAAAAAGAAAAAGAAAAACCGTTTTCATCCTTTTGCATGGGTTTTAAAATGTTAGATAGTAAAAAGACTTTTACGGTCAAAATTTTAACTAATTAACCAAAAGTAATTATTCAACTTTCCAAAATTTACTAACTAATTAACCAAAAGTAATTATTTTTATATGCACTAATTTCAAAGGAAATTTAAATGTAACAAAAAAAAAATGATCATTAAATAAATTTCATTGAAACTCATAAATTTGAATTTCATTCGAATTTAGTGACGTTTAAAATAAAACTGTAATATTTATTTAAATTTAAATTCTATGTAAAAAAAAAAAAAAAAAAAAAAAAAAAAAAAAAAAAAAAAAAAAAAAAAA